AGAAGCAACGCTACAAAGGCAAAAGGCAAAGTGCACAGCTTTTGCCGGTTGCTCTGAACTGTGTTGTGTTGGGTGTGCTGTTCGCTAAGTTCTCTCTCATGACGCGTGCACCCCAAGAATCCGTTTGCTGTATGTGTGCGATTGGGTGCGTGCTTTGTCATATTGGCTTTCTGTGTGTGATTCACAAGTCGGGCCCCAGAATCTGTAAATGTCCTTTCTTTTGCGAGTGCTACCTTCGTTCTTTCTTGAGAAAACTGCATGCTAGGCCCCAGATGAGAAATAACAAGGTCGGTTGATGCCATTTGGGGTCTTTTGCGCTCTGGCCTTTGCATACTGACATATTGTACCCAGTGTTTGGCACGGGCACGTTTGACATCTTTTAACAAACTTCGGACTCAAACAACGCACGCCCCACCCAAACTCGAAGCATTTGGCGTTGCTCGAACTTTGTGAACCTTGGGAGCCCCAACGTCGCACGAACTTGCAGGCCTCGCGCTAGAATCGCAACGCTTCCTCGTGCAGCTCCGGCAGGCGAATCCACAAATCGGATCGTCCATGAATTTTCCATGCCTGTTTCCGTTTGAATTCCGAAATGGTTTTCAGGTTTCAAGTTTGAAAGGCAAAAGACCGAATGCTGCAAGACGTCAATTTGGCTATTGAGTAGGGTTGTTGGACACGTTCTCCTTGCAATGCTCAATGCACGGCATACTTACGCATTTCAAGTCTTGTTCTCAAATATATAGCTCTATATGATACTATGTTCCTAGTTTAACTTCTTGCTCCTAGTAGTAAGGCCAGGAGCCCCTAGTAGCGTCCTTGCTCCTAGTAGCGATGCCAGGAGCCCCTAGTAGCGAACATTGCTCCTAGCTCTATATATCGGATGTTAGTTGGTCATGGACATGGCATATGTTCCAATTGAAAGGAACACGGCCGAGCCAAAGCTGCTGCCAAGGCCGTACAGGTGTGACGGAGACAAAACAGACTCACAAAACATTATTCAAGTGTTCGTTTGGACTCATTACTAAATTTGTTGTTCCATTTGCATAGTTTATTCTTGAATTTGTACAGCGCATGGATTTAAGTAAGGTATTTGTTGTTGTTGTTTCTTTTTTTTTGTGTGTTTTGTGTTCCAGTTCCTTTGTACTAGTAGCAGTAGTAGCACTAGAATGGAGAAGATTGAGGTGTTGGGCCTTGAAGAAGAGTTTCCGGATGCGGAGTTTCATTGGAAGAAAGAAGCTTTGGAGTCAGCTATTTGCAAAGGCGTTTCTTTGCATCAGCCATCATTTTTTTTGTTTGTTTTGCTCTTCATTTGAGATAGTTTTGGTGGTGCTTTGTTTCATTCTATTTTTGCACATGTTTGGTTCGGTCCTAAACGCTTCAGGCCGAAGGGAGGCCATGGTGGGCTTGAGCTGTCAGGACATCCAAGGTGAAGGGCAGGGAATTTCGATCGACATCACGCAGTTGCAGGAGTCGCGCTTGCATTCTAGATGTGTGCAAGGTCTTTTGGAGTGCAATGAGGCACACAACTGTATACCACAATTTGTTGCATTAATTTATCCATCCGCATTCCAATTCTTTTCCCGTTTTGACCATTCCACTGCTCAATCAGGTGGAGTTGGCAGCAGATTTGGGCATGACCTGGAATGTTGCCCTACCAGAACTATCTGAAAAGTTGAAAGAGGCTAAAATGAAGCGTGAGGCCGGCATTTGCAGGTTTTTTTCTTGTTTCTTTGTTCTGCACTGTGGATCTGTTGTTTTGCTTGTTTGCCTTGAATTTCCCTGTTGTGCGATGATATTGGCTCTTTGAAGGCTGAGTGCTTTTCGCTTCCTGAAGCAGTGTCAATCAATCTGGTCGAGGACGAGGTCAAGCTGTCAGGACGTAGCTTGACAGAGGGTGACGGAGCTTCAAAGCGCGTGTCAAAAGGTGGCCGTGGGAAGATTGTCCTTACTCTCGTCTACCACGTCATCAACGACCATTGGATTTGATTTGGCCAAGATCTCAAGGTGTATGATTGGATTGGAAGAAGTAGTCCTTAGTCCATCCTGACCCAGATGCCAACTAGACTAGAGCTGCATGTTTTCCGGTTGGGTTGCTCAATGCACCAGCATTTTCTGTCTTCTGCTGAAGTTATCTCAGGAATGCAACATGGCCAGCGGTGTGCTTGAGCCTCAAAGACAGATTCTTCTAAAGGTCTTGGTGGCAACCGAAGGTTGATAGCGAAGGCTGATCGCGAAGGCCAAACCGTTTGAAGAGAAACATTGCTATTTGGCTATCACTTTTGAGGCCAACTCTTTTGCAGCTTGGATCTTTGCGAGAAGTTTTCCTGGTTGGGCCCCCACCCCAGCGACAGCGGGGTGGAGAAACCTGAGCCGCAGTGCTTGAGGTCGACCTCCTCGCTGTTGGACACCTCTCGTCGTTGGCTACGACTTTGCAGGAAACAAGTCCAAAAATACATTTGCCACATATTGCGATCGAAAGCTGTTTGGGAGAGACTGTTGCTGAAGGAGATTTGGGGTTCTTCAGTGCCAAAGGTCAGCTTCGGCGGTGCTGATGACTTAGGCAACTAGTGGTTGCGCTTTTGGGTGCATTTAAGTTACTTTGTGTAATGTTAGTGATATGCGTATGTGTATGTGAAGTGCCTTCAAAATTTGCCATGATTACGATTGCACAAGAGCGTCGCGTTCATATGCGCAAAACGATAGGGGACCCACAAAAAAACGATACCCTTCAACAAGGTTCCAAAACATTGGAAAACGATAGGGGACTCACAAATCTGAGGATGCAACAGCCACACATAATGCAATGTTGACCGTACTTCATGTGTTTATAATGTAAATTGTGTTCCGCCAAATTGTTCTGATCCATATTGTCAACCCGTGCGGCAGGTACGGACCGAAGCGTCTAATCTAGGCATGCATTAGCTGCGGCCAGCAAGCACTATAGCTTTAGCCGCCGCAAGGGACCTCTTGTGCTTTCGAAGCCTTAGACCACTCAACAGCTCAACATGATTTTTACTAAAGGGTGCAATGGCCCATCAAAGGTTGACTTGTTCAATTCCTCCAAGTGGTCCAAGCGTTTTACCACGTTTTTGGATAGTTCCTCCAGTTTTGTCCTCCGCAAATCGTGGGGGGGGGGGGGGGAGGGGGGGGGGGGCCCCCCCCCCCCCCCCCGCCGGCAAGAGCAGGGGGGGGAGGGTTCCCACCCCCCCCGGGGGCTTGCTTGGTTGGTGGAGAAGGTGTTTTGCCGCAGGGGGTTCACCTTAAAATGTGATTTCGTGGCAGGTGCGGGTGTTGGAGATGAAGTGCAGATTTTGTGGTGCGGGGGGGGTTGCGGGGGGGCGCAGCGCCCCCCCCCAGCAGCAGACCACAGCTACGTAAAACAAGTGCATGTTGAATGCAAAGAAAACAAAGAGACTGCGCCGGCCGGACTATTTCATCACGTTGCTTGGTTTGTTGCTTCGTTGCTTGTTTTGGTTCATGTTCTTGTTGGTTGTTTGTTGTGGCTTTTGCTGAATGCGCTTGTGGTTATTGTCGTTGCTGTTGGTCTTTGCTGATTGGTGCCTGTTGGTTGGTTTGTGGGTTGCTTGGCCGAGCGACCGAGTATGGGGGGTTGTTTGGCCGCAGGGGTTCACCTTAAAATGTGATTTCGTGGCAGGCGCGGGTGTGGGAGATGAAGTGCAGATTTCGTGGGTTAGCAGACCACAGCCACGTAAAACAAGTGCATGTTGAATGCAAAGCAAACAAAGAGACTGCGCCGGCCAGGGGACCTCGGGGGAGGTGAGGGGTAAGTTCCCCCAGAAGTGGCAGTTGCTTAACTGGACCTGATCGAAACACCAAGTGAGTCACACGAATACGATCGGTGTGCGAGCGGCAGCGATGCACACCTTTTCTATGGCTGCGGATGCAGGTATTGGGCTACTAAGTCTTGAGCCAAATGAATTAGGTCGAAAGCGGACTGAAGAGCTACAGACTAATCTATACAAGAGAACAGGTGCTACACACGCCTAGGGGACCTAGGACACTACCAAACACAAAACAGACACAAATTTTCTTCGTGTCGAAGCTTACGATCTCTAAAGTACAAAAGCTTGGAAGCAAAAGGATGCAAATGAATTACAGAAGTTCTGTCTTCGCAGAACTAGACCGTACATGCCATTCTGGCTCATCTAGGTTGCGTCAGATAATCTTTACAAATCTACGAAAGGCATACTTGCTGCATCGAACGTTCCGGAATATCGGAGATCTTCTTTTTCAAGTCAAATCGTTAAGTCGAAATCAAATCTATAGGGCCTTTAGTTTTGATGTATCTGGGTCTTTCAAAATATGCATTTAGCCTTCCGGCACTTAGCTATAATCAAGCCGGAATATCGGCTTCTCTGAGACTACTTACCAGTTCCTGTATCCTCGGTATCCAGGGTTCCAGGATGATGAGGAGGAACCGGCATACCACCATGAGCTTGATGCACCTGAGGACCAGCGGTCCGATGGCTGCCAGGACTGGTCCCAGCCTGCTTGCTAACTCCTTCGAGCGCAATGCGATCCATCGCTGCGTAACCTGTTGAGCCGCCACCGAGAACAAGATCTTTGATTTCTTGCAAACGGTGCAATCGACCGGCATATCGGTCGTCCGGGTGCCAACCCTCGGATTCGGCTGCGAAGGGAATCGTAAAATCGATTTCGGCTGTGACCTCTTCGCGCTCGTGCTCACCCAGCGGTGCCGGAATATCGGCGAATTGAACTGAGATAAATGCTATTGCATGAGCAATGGTTGCTGACATCATGGTAGCAGTCAAGGCATGTTCCGTGACTACATGCTCTGCAGAAGAAAAGTACGTCAGCGCTGGAGCAGGTAAGGCAGGTCATCTTCTCTGGACGGTGGAAGTACTTCATTGGAGTACTCTGTGCCTTCCTTGCGTCGCTGATGACCTCCCGCGCACGGGAGGTCGCACGCTTCTTGGGCTTTGCCTCGATGAACTTCGTTTCCGGAATATCGGAAAACGAAACTCTGCGGCCAGATGGCGTGCGGGTCATTCCCGGTGTATGGTCAGCCTTCTTAAGGACAGTGCGAGTTGGCGTGCGTGACCTTGCCCGGGAGGACCAAACCCTTGTACTTGATACTTCGTCTTTCTTGACTGCTGACGATGATGAGGCTGCGGCTGAAGGATCGTCCGGCATATCGGACTCTTCCTTTTTCACAGTGCCTTTCTTGACCCAGGTTCCTTTCTGGCGTGCTTCTGCGAGGTCGTCCACCATGGCTTCATCTAATGTACTTATGACCTGAACATCATCATCGTCGTCTGCCGGAATGTCGGCGTCGACCTCCATGTCGTCGTCATCATCGACGTCAATCAGGTCATCTCCCTCTTCCTCAGTCGTTTCCGACAATGAGCGTTTCTTGAGACGACGCATGTTGGTGGCTTCATCCTTCCAGTCGTCGTCGAGGGAGAGAAAATTCAGCCATGTCTCAGTGTGGATCTTGGACATGCCGTGGAGCTGATGGCGATCAAGTTTCTCCTCGGCCTCATTGCGCCATGCCTCGACCTCGCGAATCTTAATATTCTACTTCGGTGTCGCCGGGCACTTGTGGACTTATAAGTTACTTATGATGCTACTTAGCTAGATACGTTTTTTCGTACTTAGAACCATACTTATAAGTAGACTTCAAGCCTTTGTTGTTGTAAAAGTGCTTTGAATTGTCATAGAAGTGCT